ATCATTCTCGTGATTCTATATTTTTCTAGCTAGCCTAAATTCTAACTCTGATTTTAGCTTTTCTTAAGCATGTCTAGCCTAGTGTGTTTGTGTGTCTGAATGCTTACAGCTACCGCTTGTCTTGAGTTTATCTTGTACCATGTTCTGGATTCTTGTGATAAAACCAATTCCCCATCTAGAATATGTCTTAATTCCTGTTAAATCGTTTGTATATAACTTAATGCTTTCCTAGAGTTGTATATTGATCATGTTGATTAGTCAAACATGCTTTCTTTCTACTTAACATGTTCTCCCCGATTTTTTGAACATATCATTTCTTAACATTGCCTAAGACCTTAGAATAATATGCAATATCTAGCCCCTTCTCCTATATGTGATCGAGACCTAGTGTCCTGTTAATCTGGGGTTGAATATATTTTCACCTATCGTAAGTTCTGATATTGTTTCTGAACTCTGGTATTGTAACTGATACTCAGCATATTAAAGCTGTCTCATGAACCTGTTATGCTATGCTTATCTCACTAAGCTTTCATGTTAGACATTCTATCGTATCCCCTACTTATGCTTGTCTTTGACTTTGTTATGTTCTTACGTTAAGTCTTATAACCAAAGTTTTGACTAATTCTAGATCATGATATATGCTTGATTCCTGAAATTTGGCATTGTATGTGGTTATCCTAAGTAGATAGTCCTATGAAGCTTGTAGTGTTTGACTGTGCTTAGCATGCTACTCCATTCTTTTTGTGAATAATTGCTCACGCATGAACTTGGGTTGTCTCCTATGTAAAACTCCCCTCTATTGAAGATGAGTCCTCCTAATTTCCCTAGTTCTTCCATGTTTTTGACCCAATCAATTATGTCGCCTTGCTATGTTTTACACGAATCCAACTAGTTGTCATATAATCCTATCTCTATGAAGTAATGCTTCAGGTTTGTTTTATATGTCTGCCATTAACTTGTTTGGTTAAGAGGATGATCTGTAAATTATTGGATTGGCACGAGTCATTGATAATAAAAGAGTCATTGATGAACATGTGACGGCAAGCCATGAATGCAAATATTCTCTGCAATAGTAGCTCATTTAATGTTAGTGAATATTCCCTCATTGAATGTCATCTGATGGCAAACCCTTGAGCTTCTCCCGTTGACTAAGCTCCCTTCGGAGTCTATCCGGTACCGACCACACTCGTTGTATCATTATTGGTTGTTCCTCTGACTCGTCCTTTGCCTATCTTCGGTTCCACGTGTCACGTTACCATTTGACCATCTATTATCAACTAAGTTTACACCATACAAGATCAACTTCAAACTTAATAAATCTGAAGTTGGAAAAATTTCGAGTCTGAAGTTGTAATCTTAAGATCCACTTAGAATTATTTTAGTTTAAAGTGCGGCTAACTTTTGCATGCGCTTAAGACTTTTTTAATTTGAAATGCCCTTCGAACGTGGATTCACGTAGAACATCGCGCCGCCATATGAACATGATATATAGGATAAATATGAGGCCCAAACTGAGAAGAATTGCACTTAAAACTTAATTGGTTTGAGGTACAGCTAATTTTTGTATGCACTTAAGATTTTTTTTAGTTTGAAATACAAATTGCTCAAAATTAGAAACTTATTCGTCGAATTTTAATAATTCAACATGATTGAACATTCAAATCTACTCCAAATTAACTCAAATAACTTTCAGATATTATAAAGAACAAACTCAAATCCTCACTTTGTCAAAATAATAACAAATCTAACAAATTAATTTTGCAAAGAGAAGAAGGAGGAGGAGAAAAAGTCTAATTTTGCCTTGGGCGCGGATAATTAAGAGCCTATACAAAACTTGCGGGCAAGACCTTGGATCGGCTTAACTACATCCAATGCAATAAACACAAACTCTTGTTACATCTCATTTCATGTATAACCAATTTAATTTATACACATTCATATGTTCATAAGTAATATCTCTTAATTTTTCATTGTTCTAAGTTTAGAGATAATATATTAATATAAAGTATTTACGGGATTAACATATCGTGTTCTTAATAAAAATAATCAGACCTTAGACTATTATTTGGGGCAAAATAGAACATGGACTTGTTACGCTTAAATGTATGGTGCCCAATTCCTCCTGCCGAAAAAAATTCCCTGCAACATTTAGGGCTTCTGTTTTATCTCAAACCACAACAATTCTTACATCAAAACACATATGCAACCGCCAAACGTATTCCAAATTGGTTCCAATTCAGTAATAGTAACAACCAGAATTTGAATATATTTGTTTGTTTCCGCTATTATCAAGTTCAGTATGATGATCTCTTCCCTCCTTCCGTCTTCGCCTGTGAATGCGATTAAGCTCATTAATCTTCGTGTTTTGGGGCCTGGTTTGAGTCCTTTTGCTCCGTACAACTTGGCTAATCATTCCTCTCGCTAAAGCCCTCCTCTCTTTTGTTGGTTCTTTTTTGGCCACTCAATCATGTAAATTTGAAGAAATTGTCACCTTTTTGGGATCTTACTTACTCGAGATTCTTCTGGGTTTTTTTGCGAAATTGCAAAATAGTACCAATTGCATTGGAAAGATTAGAACTTGCTGATTGTGAGGGAAATTTTGGTATTTCGTGTAAAGGTTTCTACCTTGGAGCTTGGTTTAATTAAGGGGAAAATAAGAAGAAAGGAAAATGCAAGAAGGAGGATTGGGTTTAAGTAGGAGGTATAGGAGGTTGGATATGAGTGGAGGTGATATGGATGATCGAGGTTGGACTCCTCTTCATATTGTTGCTCGTAAAGGTGACCTGAAAGAGGTACTCTTTTACTTCTTTTTTTTGTGTTGCATCTTTTATTACTTATGTTTTTATAGTGTTTCGTGTTATTTGTGTGTTAGATGTACGAGCTTATTTTTAGTTGCTGTGCTGTTGGACGACTGCTTTAGTACATAAAAATACTAGGACATGTTAATTATTTATGGATTTTTTGTTAATGCTGATAGAAGAAGAGACAAAGCCAAGTATGTCTGCATTTATGATACTGCTTCTAATTAGTTTTGTAATAAGTTGCACCTTTTATCATAGAGTATTCACCAAGATGATAGCTTAGGGAAAAAGAACATAGGATGTTGGAATTTATGTACTTCTGTGAATTAGAATCCGTTATGCTAAACCTCAGTTTGAACGTCAAATATTATTAGTAGGAAGTATTTCTAAATACGGAAGGAAACCACTGATTTAATTCCATTTTCCTAGAGGAAACCACATAGACGACAATCATTTGTAATCTACAAATTTCGAGGTACTGTGATATGTGACACTTTTTGCTTTTCGAGTTTTAAACTTCTTAATTTTTACCGAGCATTTGGACATAGAATCTTTAAGTTTTTCGAAATAAAATCTACATATTTAGAAACTACATAGAAAGTACTATAAGCCATAATAATTAATAATTCAAAATATTCATATCAAAGGGCCAAGGAATAATTCGTTGGAATCTCCAAATTGGATCACCATCACATAAACTGGGACGGAATGAGTAGGTTACAGTAGGTACACTCGATTTCCGGTCGTGATAGTATCTCATTGAAGAGTATAGCTTTTCTCTTTAATTTACTATCAGCTCATTTTTTAATGTAATTGGTAATGTGTTATCCCTGGATGTGTTGCGGTGATCTATGGGTAGCAAGGAAGTAAGCATCAGTTTGTTTACTTTTTCTGTTTCCCAGGCTACCTTTTTCTAAATTTTATTTGTTCCATGAGTGAAGGCGAGATGCTTTGTGCATCGGGCTGCCCTTTTTTTATTTGTTTTATTTTTCTTTTAATAAAGTAACCCATGCTATAAGAATTTCTTATTCATGTGCATTTTCGAGAGATCCCTACCTTTTGAACCTTTTCTTCTCATTGCAATATACTTGCCGTGCTTTTCAATTGGTTATGTTATGCTGATCGTTTTTGTTTTATCAACAGGTCAAGAGACTTCTTAAAGAAGGCATGGATGCAAATGTGACTGCAGGGGGGACTAAGTCACTTGGTGTCACTCCACTCCATCTTGCTACTAAGGGTGGTCACCTCCGAGTTATGGATGAATTGCTTGAGAGAGGCGCCGATATTGATGCACGAACTAAGGGTGTATGTGGATGTAAGTACCTACATTCATGTAAAGCAGCTTTTCCCCTATTAGCATTTTCAAAATCAAAGTTAGTCACCATTATCCCTATTCTCTTTCAACTTTTTTGTTTGTTTCAGGGACTCCACTCCATCATGCAGCTAAAGAACGAAAGAGGAAAGCAATCAGATTCTTGATTAAAAATGGTGCATTCTTGCCAGATAACATACATGATACCAGGTTCAATCCTCCACTCCACTATTGTCCTGGTCTCGAATGGGCTTACGAGGAGATGAGGCTGCTACAACTAGAGGGTTCATCATCTGGTGAGGCCTCTTACAGCTCGGGAAACTGAAGTGCAACAGTAGTATTTGTTATTCGTTGCATGTTCCACGAGGAAGAAATGTTGATAAGAATAGAGACATGCTGCAGTTGGATTTGGAATCTTAAATATATGGTTTGTCTTTGTAGATTGCGTGTATGTATTACTAAGTAGACTACATTCACTCTAGTTGATATGGTAGTAAAGGGAACAATAAATGTCTCTGATTCTTGTTGACGAATTCTGTGTGTTGTTAAACCTTGTGGTGTAAACATTTCATGCGTCATTAAACAATCACGTGGACTTGAGCAAGTTCGGTATGTTTATTCGATGCTGTTTTTTCTTATGGCTCAAAGTGTTCCTCAACTATAGTCTCCCGCATCTTAGTGCAGCTGCGAATGCTAGGAACAGGCGATAACCGAGAAATTTTCAATGGCCATTTGGCGCACGGTTTAAAACTCAATGGATAATGGATCCGCGGAGCCTTTCACCACTTAAGTACTAGGCTTTTTGTTTGGTTCAAATTAACGTGCATGTTTGTGTATACCATTAATAGAGTATCTCTAGGAGCACCAATCCTTCCAAGAAGAGGGGCTGGTAAAGGTTTCTTTCAATAGCTATGGCTCCTTACTCGGTAACACATTAGTAATACTTGGACATTGTAGAGTTAAAAGTTTCTAATTACAAAATAAACCGAAAAAAGCAGAAGAGGTTATTCGAATTGCTGTACACTTAATTTCTGTTACAAGTTGGTGAGGAATAAAAGGTCTTAACTCTGAATTCCTTTTCATATCCAGCGTTTGTTGCGTCTTGATTCATTAGCTCCGTGGAACCATCGATCCAAATGAACATTTATCGGTCCTCTAGTCCTGCAAGCATCACTAATTTATTTGAGAATCTTTGAAAACCAAAGGGAATACTTATAATTTCCTCTGCATCCACATATCGACTAGTAACTTTAGAAAATGACTTTGGGACTAACTAGACACCAAACACTAGTTCAAGCAGTGAGTACTATCCAAAATTATAAATATAAGGATACTCTTGCAATGCAGGAATTGACATTTGGAGTGTGAAGTAACATAACATGGATAATCCAACATTAGTTAGCTCAACATCAAGAACGAATCTCGTTTCGATTCAATTTTAAAAAATAACTAAATAGACTCTAGACCGAAATCAACAAAAGAAATTAGTTCTAAGTGGTGATAATTGTACAGAACTAGAAGAGATTACAATCATACACTTAACTAATAATGTGACATCTCTTGCTTTCCCTTTCATTACTATCCTATCCTTGTATAATGAGAATAATCGTCGGTTAGTTATTTTGTTTGAAAATTTTCAATAAATACTCAGGAATCTCTTAGAATATCTTGAAGGAGCTTTTTTTCTCAAAACTGCACTGCCTTGTTTTTTTTTTCTTGGATCAGAGTGAATTTATTGAACTCTCGCTGAGAATATTTAGAACCATAATGATGATAAAAGTAAAATAAAGGTAAATCTTACACTGGAAGCAGAGCATCGGGCATTAACTCAACGCTTGAAACTAGTCTGCAACCAAATAAAGTTAGTACACAACATGTTTTTGCTTTTCTATTCTATTCATAATTTCAAAGCAAACGAAAATAGTCGTAACAACCTTATCCAATGTAAATACCAATATGAAATAGACCAAAAACTCAACTAGTTTGCATCTCTGATATGAATCATTTGCTTCTTATGAGAGATTATAAATTTTTAGTGACAATTGACATGTATAGGTGACCTTGGTGAAGTACATAACCAATCCATCTACTTTCTCTATCGGTAATATGTGCTGCTTCAATTATTTGTTGTCCAAAAAAATGTGATATTTAATATTCTTATCTAACACTGCAATTCTTCTCAATTTCTGTTGCCACAAGTAAAAAGTAAAAATAATAGTAATAATAATAATGATGTTGATGAAGAAAGAAGAAACAAGACAAGCCATTTAATTTCCCATAATAACTTACTCTCTGCAAACAATGGAGGCTTCACCACATGAATCAAGTTGATCCAATTCATCCTAAAATAATCACAAAACAAAATTCCCAAATAAGAAAAAGCATAAAAACCTCAGTAAATAAGGGATAAAATAATGGACCAAAAATCAGAACCACTAAAAATTCAAGAAAACACTAACCTGAATGATCTGGATTTGCTGATTGAGAGAAGCAATAGCAGCAGCCAGACGATGTTTTCCCATAACCATATTTGGAGTGCCACTTCTTTTTGAAGATGAAGAAATTAGCTCATTGACTTCTTGTGAAGCAGATGATGATGATGATTCCTCCATTAAAACCAAAAATTAGCTAAGATCAAGAAATGGAGATATGTTGGGTTTTTATTTTAGAGGGTATTAATAAATAGGGTCTTGGACCGACAGATCAAAGAGAAACCAATAATGTGGGGTTGTAGGAAAGTAGATCAAGGACAATGAGGATTGAGGCTGCATAGGGAATGGTCAAAAAGGTGACTGAGATTAGGGGGAATTTGAAAGTTGAAACACTAGCAATAATTTAACAAAATAGTGTCAAAGAATGTGACGGAGTGGAATACATCAAATATTATACTATAAATCTATATTAATTGGATTAGTAAATTTTGAATAGCTAACATATGACCCTAAAACCGACCCGGTCGTCATGGCGCCTATCGTGAAATTAGGCCAGCCGACACAATTTCCACATCAAATTGTTATTCTATAAAAGTCATTTTAAGCCATTTATTTAACAAGAAATCTCATAACATAAGTCTAAATAATCAGTGCGAAATAAATACACAAGCCCGACATCGGGGTGTCATAAGTCACGAGCAATGACAACTCTGTCTAAGTACAATAAAGTCTAACAAAGTCTGGAGGACAATACTAATAAAATCTAGGGAAGATATGAGGGAGAAGAACAGGGTTGCGAACGCCATGCTGCTGAATGTATGATCAATGCTCACTATCGCGACCCGCAACTCCTGGATCTGCACACAAGATGCAGGGAGTAATGTGAGCATGCAAACTCAGTAAGTAATAAAAGTAAATGAAAGCTGAGCAGTAAGAAAATAGATAATTCCACGTCATAGCACCACAGCAAATACAATACATTTTCAAAACAGTACCGAAATCAATTATCTCGTAAAACAAACTCAATTTCAGTAAACCTTTTCTTTTAAAAATATTTTTCAATAGTTTCAAACAAGTGATGAAACATTGAATAAAAATGATAGAAACGTAAACAGCCCCTCGGGCAAGACATGTTAGCCTCTCGGGCAAAATATCAATAGAACCAGCCCCTAGGCTACCTCATAATCACTTGTAATCAGCCCCTTGGGCAACAACATGAATCAACAACAGCCCCTCGGGCAAAATCACATCACTCACACTAGGTACCCGCGCTCACTGGGGTGTTCAGACTTCGGAAGGGCTCCTACAGCCCAAGCGGTATAACAAGTCATCCCGTGGCATAATAAATAAGGCCCTCGACCTCTCATATATCACAATCAGTTCAACATCCGAACCATCAGAATTCACATCCGAGACCTTCTACCCATAAGTCAACATCCAGTTGATTTTTCCAACTTAAGCTTACTCAAAAGAGACTAAGTGTCTCATTCCTCTACAAAACCTCTCCGAGCCCAAACCAACCAACACGATACAATAAAATACAGCTGAATAACACATAAAAAGTAGAAACGGAGAAATAGAGCAATAACTCATGAAATGACTGGCTGGGTCGTTACATCCTCCCCCTCTTAAACAAACGTTCGTCCTCGAACGAGTCAAGAAATATACATGAAGCCTCAAACAGGTATAGATATCTGCTCCGTATCTACTGCTCGATCTCCCAGGTAGCCTCCTTCATGGGCCGACCTCTCCATTGCACTTTCACTGAAGCTACATCCTGTGATCTCAACTTTCGGACCTGCCGCTCCAAAATAGCCATTGGCTCCACATCATAAGTCAAATCACCCTCTAACTGAACCGTGCTGAAATCCAAAACATGAGACAGATCGCCAATATACTTCCGGAGCATAGAAACATAAAATACTGGATGCACACTCGACAAGCTAGGTGTCAAGGCCAGCTCCTAAGCCACCTCCCAAATCCTCTGAAGCACCTCAAAAGGCCCAATGAACCGAGGAATCAATTTACCCTTCTTCCCAAATCTCATAACACCCTTCATGGGTGAAACCTTCAATAGAACCTTCTCCCTAACCATGTAGGACACATCACGAACCTTTTTGTCAGCATAACTCTTTTGTCTTGACTGTGCTGTACGAAGCTGCTCCTGAATCACCTTCACCTTGTCCAAAGCATCCTGCACCAAGTCTGTACCCAAAAGTCTAGCCTCATCCAGCTCAAACCAACCAACTGGAGATCTACACCGTCTCCCATATAAAGCCTCATATGGAGCCATCTAAATACTCGGCGGATAACTATTGTTATATGCAAACTCTGCGAGCAGTAGAAACTGATCCCATGAACCCCCAAAATCAATGACATAAGCGCGCAACATGTCCTCCAATATCTGAATAGTGCGCTCGGACTACCCATCCGTTTGAGGGTGAAAATTTGTGCTCAACTCAACCTGAGTGCCCAACTCTCGCTGCACGGCCCTCCAAAACTGCGAAGTGAACTGAGTACCTCTATCTGAAATGATGGAAACTGGGACACCATACAAGCGGACAATCTCTCGGATATAAATCTCTGCTAACCGCTCTGAAGAATAGGCAGTACACACAGGAATGAAGTGCGCGGACTTGGTCAACCGATCCTCAATCACCCAAATAGCATAGAACTTCTTCAAAGCCCGTGGGAGCCCAACTACAAAGTCCATGGTGATCCGCTCCCACTTCCACGCTGGAATATCTATATGCTTAAGCAAGCCACCCGGTCTCTGATGCTCATATTTCACCTGTTGACAATTGAGACACCGAGCTATAAATCCACAATATCCTTCTTCAATCTTTTCCACAAATAATGTTATCTCAAATCCTGATATNCACCAGGTCAACAATTAAATGAAGAAGTTATGAATGCTCTTTATCCTAATCAAACGATCTTTGAGAATGATANATATATCTTCGTGGCACCCGGATGAATGGAATACCGCGAGCTATGGGCCTCCTCCAAAATCAACTCCCGAAGCCCATCTACATTGGACACACATATCCGGTCTTGTATCTTCAATACCCCATCATCGCCAATAGTCACATCTCTGGTATCGTCGTGCTGAACTCTGTCCTTAAGTACAAGTAAATGAGGATCATCATATTGGCGCTCTTTGATGCGATCAAACAAGGAAGACCGAGAAACCACACAAGCTAAGACCCGACTAGGCTCCGAAATATCTAACCTCACGAACTGATTGGCCAAGGCCTGAACATAAACTGCAAGAGGTCTCTCCCCAACAGAAATATATGCCAAACTGCTCATACTCACCGCCTTCCTACTCAAAGCATCGACCACTACATAGGCCTTCCCCGGATGGTACAAGATAGTGAAATCATAGTCCTTTAGCAGCTCAAACCATCTCCGCTGCCTCAAATTGAGATCCTTATGCTTGAACAAGTGTTGGAGGCTACGATGATCAGTAAACACCTCACAAGACACACCATACAGGCAATGCCTCCAAATCTTCAATGCGTGGACAATGGCAGCCAACTCCAAATCATGAACAGGGTAGTTCTTCTCATGGGGATTCAACTGACGAGAAGCATAAGCAATCACTCTACCCTCATGCATCAATACACACCCAATACCAACCCTCGAAGTATCACAATACACTGTATATGAACCTGAAGCTGATGGCAAAACTAACACTAGAGCTATGGTCAAGGTAGTCTTGAGCTTTTGAAAGCTCGCCTCATACTCATCCGACCACCTAAATGGAGCACCCTTTTGAGTCAATTTGGCCAAGGTTGATGCAATAGATGAAAATCCCTGAACGAACCGACGATAATAACCTGCCAAACCAAGAAAACTGTGAATCTATGTGGATGAGGACGGTCTGGGCTAACTCTGAACCACCTCTATCTTCTTCGGATCAACTTGAATACCCTCGCTGGACACCACGTGCCCCAAGAAAGCCACTGAACTGAGCCAAAACTTACACTTAGAGAACTTTGCATAAAGCTTCTCTTCCCTCAATCACTGCAATACTACTCTCAAATGCTCCGCATGCTCCTCCTGACTACGCGAGTACACCAGAATATCATCAATGAATACAATGACAAACGAGTCGAGATAAGGCTGAAACATGGTGTTCATCAAATGCTTGAACGTTGCTGGGGCATTGGTCAGCCCAAAAGACATCACAAGGAACTTATAATGACCATATCGGGTCCTAAAAGCTGTCTTAAGAATATTCGAGTCCCTGATCTTCAACTGGTGATACCTTGACCGGAGGTCAATATTGGAGAAGAACCTCGCTCCCTGAAGCTGGTCAAATAAATCATCAATACGAGGTAGAGGATACTTGTTCTTGATTGTAACTATGTTTAACTGCCTGTAATCAATGCACATCCTTATAGTGCCATCCTTCTTCTTCACGAATAGAATAGGCGCACCCCACGGCGACACACTAGGCCGAATGAACCCCTTATCAAGGAGTTCCTAAAGCTGCTCCTTCAACTCCGTTGGTGCCATGCGATACGGTGGAATAGAAATGGATTAAGTGTCCGACACCAAATCAATACCAAAGTCAATATCCTTGTCTGGTAGCATGCCCGGCAGGTCTACAGGAAACATATCCGAAAAGTCCCTCACTACCGAGACTGAATCAATACTAGGAGTCTCTACACTAAGGGTGTATTGTAGGCCGGGCCCGCGTGCCAAACGGGCCAAATGGGCCGGTTCAAACGGGCTGGTCTCTAGTAGTGCAAAAGGCCATAGCGGGTCGTCCTGACCAAATAGCCCGTGAGCCCGGGACTATTTAGCCCAGGACTAGCAGGCGGGCCTAAGCCTGTTCAACCGGGCCAAACGGGCCCCAATGGCTATTTTTTTAAAAAATAAAAATAAAAAGGGCTTACGGTCAAATTTTTAAAATCTAGCCGTTGACCTTCAATTTTCGGTCGTTTGGAACTTTAAAAAATAGTCATTTGGCCCTCAAACTTTATTTTANCAATTTTCAAGAAGTTGTTCGTCAATTCGGTAAACTTGTTCCAACTCTTAAGTTTTAATATTATAGTTTTGTTTGTTTTATTTAGTATAATTATAATTAATATGGACTTTTCTTTGAAAAAAATATTTGGTGGTAAGAGTAAGGGAAAATCTAAAATTGGTGAATCTAGTCGCCAAGCTACTACTCTTCCCCCGGCTCTCCGACCCAGACCTGTTACCGTCCTCCTCCACTTATTATTCTTGATAGTGATAACCCTTGTTTTCAATTTTTCGATAGTCAATTTTGCCATGATGTTGCACCAGGTCAACAATTAAATGAAGAAGTTATGAATG